GGCGGTGGGGGGACTGGAGGGGGGCTGAGCTCCGGCAACGGCGAAGGCAACGAAGATCAAAGTGAAGCAAAACAATGCTTGAGGATCCATAATTGTGGCTTGGCTTCTGAAATCAAAAGAGAGGAAGAGAATAAATAGAAGAATTAGGAAACGGAGGACATTTTAGGTAATTTCACATCCAATAAGCATAACGAATGAAGAATTTTCAAATTTGATGAGGCGCATGTGGCCAACCGCCACCCGCCACCCGCCACCAAACATATCTCACGTATCCCACTGTCGGTGGGCCCAACCGACAATCAAACATTGTATCAACATAGAATCTACGACTGCCACGTGTTCCATAACGGGACCCGTTACATTCAATCTAAAATGACGTGTCAAATCAAGAATAAAACAGCAGTAAAATCTGTATCAACTCAATCCAAGTCATATAATTATATATACGTATGTTTATTTATTTATTACTTATCTCCCCCCAATTAGATATATATTGAAATTAATTAAAAAAATGAATAAATGGCGGAATCAACCTAACTGTGTTGGATTAAATTTGAGTTTATTATTTAATAAAAGCTAATTTAAATTTTAAAAAAATTATAATTCGAATAATTTTTGACCCAATTCAATCCAGGAACACTATTGACGTGTATTATTGTCCCCTCTTTTTTTTTAAATTAATTAAAAAAGCATTTATATAATATCAATTATGAATGGGGCCTTCCACGTGATGATGAATGATTAAACCCATTGATGTTTAAGTTAAATTATTGCAATCACCAAACTCTCCGTTCACTTTTTTCTTTCCTTTTAAATCACATTCTTTCAATAAATAAATAAATAAATAATATATGAATGCAAGTATATTATTGGAGTTAATTAACCAATCTATAAGTGTGTAACAATTTTATGAATAATCATATATGGTTTATATTTGTCATGTTAGCAGCTTTAATTATTTGTTTAGACCTTTCATTAGAATGTGTGACTTGCTCGGTACGAATGTTAGTCTAAAAAATGTGTAGATTGAACTAACATAATTAATGTGTTTTTTAATCTCGATCTTGACTAATCAAGTAGTTGCTTTGATTTAAAAATATCTATAATAAATTATTTATAAATACTAAAATTACTCTATATCATCGGCCTGATGTTAACTAATAAAATGACTTCGAATATTAATATATCTATACATATATATCATTTTAATAAAATAATAAATTATTGAAATTCAAGACTTATAATATTAAAATTGGAAAATATTCAAACAATTAAGGTATTTTTGAAAAAATTAAGGATGTTTTTGAAAATTTGATAAGTTTAAGATATTTTTAAACATTTTTTTATATAAATTTAAGGTTTTTTATTTTTTATTTTATTTTTTTAATTTAAGGATATTATTGGGGGATAATTAAAAAAAAAAACAATTTAAGGGTTTTTTTTAATAAATAATTCAGTCTTAACCAAATTAATAAATTTACAACTAACAAATGGTGAGAAAATTTGGGAGATAATTGGGTAGCAGTTGGACAACTAAACATAACCAACCTGGTACGAGGTTTAATAATGTGAAAATAATAATCATATTATTAAACAAAACAATTCTCAAAATTCTTTACATTAATTTTTATTTTTTTAAATTAAAATGATAGGTCAAATAAATAATCTCAACCGTTTATAATTTTATAATTTAGTGATAATTAATATATATTTAAAATTAAAAGAAATAAAATTACAAATTTTGGAATAATTTATTTAAAAGAAACTTTACTTTTAATACAATTCCAATTATTAAAATAAATAGCCAATACAAACATTTTGAAGCATATTTGAATGTTACTCAAAGTAGGACGGAGTGTTTGGTGAGTCCTAAATACGTGTCGAGCTCTAATTGGCTGGACGTCGGTGACGGTGACGGTGACGTGTGACAGACATTGAAAAAGTCAAAAGTGTATTATTAAGGCTTGTGTACGGTAATGATTTGGGTGAAATTAAACTTTAAATTAACGTGGGACCCACGTGTCAATTTTTTTTTTAAGTTGTAAAAATGATTAATTAAAAAAAAAAATTAAGGTAAAAGTAAGATTTGATTCTTTAATTAAACAGATTAATAAAAATATTTTTTTATAAACTTTTAAATTTTTAAAAATGTTTTATTGAGGCGTTTACGTCCTCAATAATAGATATCGTACATAAAAAAAATATTATAAAGTAATAAAAATTATAACGATATAATTTTTATACAATAAGGTTACAATTTTGATTAAAATCATTATTTACATCAGAATCATATATTATCAAACAAGAATATGTGAAAAAGAGGTGGACATTATTATGATTATATATTATATTTGAAGGAAAAGGGATGACAACTTAGAGTGAAAGCAATGGTAAATCCGTTTCAGTTGAGCTGTCTAATCAACACAACTTTATAGCCATGCAACATGTTTTTTTTTTAATATTTAAATATTATCATTCGTGGCTCAAATAAACTATGTATGAAGCTTTTAATTTAGAGGTCTAGTCGGTAAATAAAAAATTGTAAAATATGTACCGACATATTAGACATAAATTGAAAATTTATGTATCATAATTTTAAATTTTTCTTAGTTGGTAAATTAATGAAATAAATATCAAACAAGTTCACATAATCAATAAAT